ATGAAATGAACAAGTCACGGGGATGAAAGGTACATCACAGGGAATATAGTCAATGGTATCGTACCAGTGTTGTATGGTGGCAGACAGCTGTTGTGCTTACGGTGAGCACACCCAACACACAGGCATACGGAATCACCACGCGGTACGTTTGAAACTAATGTAACATTGGTGTCAACTATATACTTCAATAACAAAACAATGAGTAGGATGATAAACTGTGCCCTTAAGGACACACACACATTGCACACACATACACGCACACACCCCCCAACACACAAGCATGTACATGTGCGTGCGCATATCAAGAAATACAAGAAATTTAAATGGTTAGACTGACGTACTCTCCATATAAATGAAGTCTTCAACAACAACAACAACAACAAAGTAGTGATTGCTCCCAAATAAAGTTATTGAAGACCTTACAAAGGAAGTAACATATTTGATGGGGCCTAAAAAAATGAGATGAATTTTGTGAGGAAGTAAAAGAAGGGAGGACAGGATGGGGTGGCGGGGGGAGTAGAGCGAACGCCATAGAATCCCGAAGGCTGAGAGAGGTGTTCAAGGAAGAGAAGACGCCATTAAAACCGAGGAAGAAATGGCTTGTGAAAAATGGTGGGCCATGGTCTAGTTTGTACTTTTGGTAGAAGAACATTAAATTTACTACGAATACTAGAAATCAAAATGTCCCTAAAGGAAAAATCCTTGCATTTTCAAAGTCTAGCAAAATACATGACAAAACAGGAAACATTTTTGACAAATTAATATGGGATATTTAAGTGTGCATTGTGTTTTATGACATTGTTTTGCATTACATTTCATGTCTTGCATTTAAGTCTAAGCTTTTTATTACCTTGGGGATAAGCATTTATATGAAAAACATCATTTCTACTAAAACATTAGTTGTAGCAGTTGGCATTTAATACTGCTCTAAAGAATCATTTTCACATCCTCTCTTTAGGGAACTATACTTTAGGAGTTGCAAGTGTTTGGAGAAAATAAAAGCCAAGATGGATAGAGAAAAGCAAAAATTAGTGAGAAAATTTCTTGGTGTGTATCAATCACATTCTGCTAGCAGAGTCCAAGTGCAACTAGATCTTAGGCACCCACCTCTATTTATGGTGCACTTGAAGGAGTTCCTTTGAGACGAGGGGGCTTACTACCAAACTGCAAGTTTTGATATTGTCCATATCATAAAAGAATTTCTACCTCACTATCCCTATATGATAACAAAAATATGATGCATGTTAGCATACTTTACAAGCTATACAGGATTTCCATATGCAATAATAATAATTATTGTCTGCTGAATAATATAAAATGGATGATTTTAAATAATTAATAGAGACCATCCAATAAGAACACTTAAAGAATATTGTGAGTGCTTATTCTGTGCTAACCTTTGTGATAAGTCCTCTGCATAATTATTTTATTGAATCTTTTCAACAATCTAATGGAAATAAGTAGGATCTTGAATTTACAACTGAGGAAACTGACTTAGAAAGGTAATCTGACTCATCCAAGGAAATCTAGGAAGGTAATACAGAGAAGGTAACAGACGGAAGACCTGAATATACACAGTACTAATATCAAAGACCCTGATGTCAACCATAAGAAATCAAAGAACCATAAGAAAAGAAATGGCCCAACAGGTAAAATAGACAAAAGATTTGAACATATACTTTCCAAAGTTAAGAAACTTGGGACTGTGTACTCAGCATCCATCACTAATTATAATGAGAATGCAAATTTAAAAATACAATCAAATACCAGTATACCGATATGACTAGAATGGCCAAATTTAAAGTTTTAGGTCAAAATTAAATAATTGACAATACCAAGGGTTGTGATGACATGAAGGAACTTGAACTCTCACATAGTGCTGATGGAAAACCAAAATGGTACGTCCACTTGGAAAAATAATTTGAAGTTTCTTAAAAAGTTAAACATACACTTAATCATATGACCCAGCCATTCCATATAAAGTATTGACCCAAGAGAAATGAGTACATACAGCCACACAAAGACTTGTACAGGAATGTTCCTAACAGCTTTAATTCAATAGCTAAAAACAGTAAACAAGCAAAATGTTCATGAGATGGTAAAAGGATAAATGGATTGTGGTATATCTACACAATGGAATAGCTATTCAACCATAAAAACTATTAATACACATTTTTGAGTGGATCACAGGACCACTGTGCTGAGCAAAAGAAACTAAGCAAAAAGGAATACACACCAATTCCATTTACATGAAATTCTAGAAAATGCAAACTAATCTAGTAGTGAGGCAAAGCAAATGCCTGGGATGAGATGGGGCAGAGAGAGGTAGAGGGAGTGATTATAAAATATAAAGGAACAGAAGGAAACTTTTGGAGGTGATGAATACATTCATTTTCTTGATTTTCGTGATGGTTTCACAGATGTATACCTATGTCAAACCCTAACCAGTTGTACACTTCAAGTATCTGCAGTTTATTTTATGTCAATTATACCTCCCTAAAGCTGTTACAAAGGTATAAGTTTACTTTTGTGTTTCTGTGATTTTTTTAATGTCTTTTTTTCTTTATCTGTGAGAATTACTACCAACATTTTATTTTTTTAATTTAATTTTATTTTTTTCAGTGTTTCAAGATTGATTGTTTATGCACCACACCCAGCGCTCCATGTAACACTTGCTTTCCTTAATACCCACCACCAGGTTCACCCAACCCCCCACCCCCGCCCCTCCAAAACCCTCCAGGGTTTTCTCTGCATAGAGAAAGATTAGAAATTTTCTGAATTTTCTTCTGTGCGTTAATCCTCATTTTCTCAATACACTTGAACAATCACAATATACTTTTAAAACTAAATACTGTTTCTAAAATTTTTTTCAGTTTTTATTTATTTATTTATTTATTTTTAAGATTTTATTTATTTATTTGACAGACAGAGACCACTTTTCAGTTTTTATTTATTTACTTATTTATTTTTAAGATTTTATTTATTTATTTGACAGAGACCACTTTTCAGTTTTTATTTATTTATTTACTTATTTATTTTTAAGATTTTATTTATTTATTTGACAGACAGAGATCACAAGTAGGCAGAAATGCAGGCAGAGAGAGAGAGGAGAAAGGCTCCCCACTGAGCAGAGAGCCCGATGCGGAGCTTGATCCCAGGACCCTGAGATCATGACCTGAGCCGAAGGCAGAGGCTTTAACCCACTGAGCCACCCAGGTGGCCCTGTCCTTTTTATTTTTTTTATTTAAGAAAAATATTTTGGCAGATCAACTCGTGGCGCGGCCCAAGACCAGCTCTGAAATGATGACCAATAGAGCAGAGGACTCAGCTGTCCGGGGCAAAAGCCAAAGGAAACGTTTTGGAAAACCCAGGATTCTTCCTCCATCTAAGAGAAGGCCAAGTCTGGCTCTGCTGTCAATGAAACAGGAAGGACAGGGAGAATCCCATTCTGGGGGCTCAGCCATGTGTTCGAAAGATGAGGGCTGCAAAGTCACAGCAATGTCTGTGTTGGGAGAAGTGCCTGAAAAACTGCCAATACCAGTGGAAATCAATGCTGAAGTAAAACATCAATTAAAGAGGGAAATCCAACAATTTGGACAAAAATATGAAAGAATCTTCAAACAGCTTGAAGGCGTGTGAAGATCTTTACAGCTGCGGAAAAAATGTTTCGTACATGCCATGAAAGAAACAGCGAGATTTAAAAGATAAGACTTGATAAAGCGCCTGGAAAAGGTACCAGAAAAACTAGAATCTCAACACTTTCTCACCAAAGGTTATAGTCACACCCCAAATTTATAATCCCATGACCGAAAAGATCAGTGAGCAAGCAGAACCAGTTTACTGTCCTAGAATGCAACCGGATATTGTTGACGTCTCCTGGCACCTCAGCTAAGAATATTGTCCTCTTGGGGTGCCTGGGTGGCTCAGTGGGTTAAGCTTCTGCCTTCGGCTCAGGTCATGGTCTCAGGGTCCTGGGATCAAGCCCCACATCAGGCTCTCTGCTCAGCAGGGAGCCTGCTTCCCTTCCTCTCTCTCTGCCTGCCTCTCTGCCTACCTGTGATCTCTGCCTGTCAAATGAATAAATAAAATCTTTAAAAAAAAAAAAGGAATATTGTCCTCTTGAGACTAAGAAAAAATACTGGGAATTCAATGTTCTAAGTTTCTGTTAGTAAAAGCTGGGCATTCCCCCTTAAAAATTTATCTTAGTTGACATACAATGTTACCTTAGTTTCACAGGACAGCATAGTGATTCAACTTCTCCACAGTTAGGCTACGCTCACAAGTGTATGTATCTGCAAGAAGGAAAGACAGGAAAATATCAAGCTGAGAGCCAGTTTATATGTTCATCCTACTTTTCTGCAGTATCTTTTTTTTTTTTTTTTTGCAAGAAAGGTGAATTTTGTATTTAAAAATGTCTTTCTAAGAAAGCACTGTCTTAGTAGACTCTTGAAAATTTGCCTACTATACTGGCAATTCTTTCCATACCTACGTTTGTTTAAAATAATCGTAAAGTCAATTTGTAAACACCCACTTCGGCTGCGGACCTTCGCCCTCAGATGAATTGGCTGAGACTTTTGTTTTACCCTATTTCCCCGCCCTGCCTCCCCCCACTCCTTGGGCTTTGGACAGAAAGAGGTCAAAGACGGAGGGCAAGGACCGCCGCTTGGTTCCTCCTTTCTTTTCCCGGTCGCAGCGTCTACTTTTTTGACAGCATTTTGAACTGAGATGACACAGTACATTACAAACGCCCAAGGGCAGCAAGGGGCAATGTTTAGTTAATGGAGTTGTCACTGTCATCTCTCTGTGCCCAGCCCGGACAGGGCACTCGTCCGGGCTGCCCTCCCCTTGGAACCCTGGCGCCTTTGGAAGGGAAGGGGTGTGTGTGACGCAGCCGCCGGTCGCTTAGGGCCGAGGTCTGATTCAGACCTGAAGCCCCTAGCGTCCGGCCACACGCAGTGCCGCCCTGGCCTCAGTTTCCCCACTTCTAAAGAAGGGGAGTCATGCTGCCCTGTTTCTTGTTTCTCTCCAAGAACATCAGCCCTTCGCTGGTGTCCCTGAGCAACGCGCGCCGGGGCTTCGCGCGCCTCTCGCGCCCTGGGCGCACTGCCCCCCTGCGCCCGATGGCAGCAGCCGCAGCCTCCGGGAACCCAACCGGGCCCGCCTCCGCCCACTCCCGGGTGCGCCAGAACTTCCACCCGGACTCCGAGGCTGCCATCAACCGCCAGATCAACCTGGAGCTCTACGCGTCCTACGTGTACCTGTCCATGTCCTATTACTTCTCCCGTGATGACGTGGCCCTGAACAACTTCGCGGGATATTTCCTTCGCCAGTCCCGAGAAGAGACCAAGCACGCGGAAAAGCTGATGAGGCTGCAGAACCAGCGGGGAGGCCGGATCTGCCTGCAGGACATCAAGAAACCAGACCAGGACGATTGGGAAAGCGGGCTGAACGCCATGGAGTGTGCGCTGCTCTTGGAGAAGAATGTGAATCAGTCGTTGCTCGAATTGCACACTCTGGCCTCAGACAGAGGTGACCCCCACTTGTGCGACTTCCTGGAAACTCACTATCTGAATGAGCAGGTGAAGTCTATCAAAGAACTAGGTGACCACGTGCAAAACTTGATTAAGATGGGGGCCCCAGATTCTGGCCTGGCAGAGTACCTCTTTGACAAGCACACCCTTGGAGATGAAAACAATCAGAACTAAGTAACCCACAGGCTGCCCTCCTCACTGCCCAGGCTGTGACAAGACCCAGTCCGCAGACTCCTGCTTTCTTGCCCTTAAAATGAACCTCTATCTTTATACACCATAATGCTGTTCCAATAAAGTGACTTGCAGAGAAAAGGAAGTTGGCCTCATATTAACAAGGGCTTTTTGTCCAACATCAAGGTAATTTTTCCAGCTGAAAGGTAGCCCACAATACCACAGTATAAAAGACTGTGAAAAAGCTACTGAGAGTAGATGCAAACTTTCTCCAGTTATCAAATATTATTCCAGACCATGAACCTTCACTAAAATTCTGCAATTTTCAACTGCACAAGTGCCCATTATTTTCAAGACCTTATACTAAAGGCTAAAGTGGGAAGATGTCTAAGATAAATATGCAAATAACTCTAACAAGTTGAAGAAGATATACAGTACTGTAAAAACCATGTAAGCAAAATTCTACGACAGCTTTTACCTTTTCCCAGCATGTTCCAAGAAAAAGTGATGTCCGGCGATGATCTGTTTTTAAAGGATTATGTGATCAAATAAATTTAAGAGAAGCTACACAAAGTATCAATGCTGGCCTTGGAAAGTCACAATGTCTATGAGCATTTAAGGGCTCTGGGAAGTCTTGCAATTAAAAACAAAAAACAAACAAAAATCTTGGATTATTTTTGTTTAGCTTAGCGTTTCCCAACATATCCAGTTGCAGGTAGTGTGTGTGTGTGTGTGTGTGTGTGTTTGTTTGAAATGATAATCTAGGTCTGTCTGATTAGAGACTCTCTACATAACCACTGGGCTATATAGCCTCTCTTTTCACATACCAAAAAGAGCAAATGCACTGCAGAAAACAATCTTCTGTGACCTGTAAAATGGAGGGGAAAAACATTGGGGTGGAAAAATCAAGAAATCCAGAATGAAGGAGGCATCAGCAAGGCAGATGTTTTCTTGGGGGTGGGGGGAAAGAGGCATGAGAAGATTTATGGGAGAATATTTGATCAGCAGGCCTTGGGCTGGACTAAGAACACTGGGTGGTGTTTGGGGAGATGGGCTGGAGCCAAGCATGGAGGAGAGAAGGAGGGGCTTAGGCTTAATTTATTGAGCAATGGCAGTGCTTTGAAGGGCTCAGCAGAAGAATGCTATACTAAGAGCTGAGCCATCAGAAGTTCAGTTGTACAGAATAGAAACTGGAGAACAACCCAAATGTCTGTGTTCATTCTGTCCTCTGAGAAACATGTCAAGATGGGATTAAATGTGTAAGAAATGTTTTAGGGAAAACAGAAACACCCTTGAGAGAAAATGGGAAAGGAGCTAGGAGAAGCAGGGAGAGCCCCTAGACCCCATGCAAGTCTGATCCTAAAGGAAGAAGAGAGGATCCTGGTGCCTGGCTCTAAACAACCTTCTGCAAGGCTGTCTGGGAGAACCAAAAGCCAGAGCTGCTCATCAGAGGAATCCCAGGTCTCCCAGAAATGGGCCTGCCTAAGTACATTTCCGGAGCTCAGTTATTGACTGGGAAGTGCAGGCTTGCAACAAGCTAAGAGATGAATCGATTTTCAAGCACAGCAGCAGGGGTCCCTGGCAAATTGTGCTCCCCGCAGTCCCAGATCTGAGAGGCTCATGCACATGACTGCACAGACTCAACAAAATGCTTTAGATTAAAATACCATACATGGAATGCCCTACAGCTATTAAATATGATTTTGCCAAACACATCATAATGTGAGCAGAAATCCACAATGTGTTTTCTTAAAAACAAGCATAAGACGGGGTTACATTATAGAACTGTATAGAGACAAATACAGGGAAAGTAATATATATGCGCCCCAAACGTAAGTATATATACCAACAAATGAAGCTAGATGACCTCTTAGTGAGATTGTCTTGGATATTTATTTTCTGTAGCTACTTGTCTTTTTAAAATAAATTTTTTATCATGGACACACATTATGGTATTATCATAATAAGAAAAGTAAAAAGGTGGAGAGAAAGAAGGAAGGGCCTGAACCATGGCAAAATCAATGGAAACAGAAACAAAGAGATGCTGATGAGAGTTTACAGGCAGAACCTTTTAAATTTTGCAAAGGACTGAATGCAGAGAGTTATAGATATGGGGTACAGAAAGAAAACTGATAGATCTCAGACTTGTGTTACTAGAGAAGAGGATCTGAGAATAAAAAGGGATCTCAGACAGGAGGAACAATTGGGTATGGAGAGTACATAATGATTTGCTTTTGATTAAGGGCACTGGCCTCACTTTACCTTCTATCCTTAAATTGGTTTATTGTGCTTTGCATAATCCTATTACATCTCTTCAGAAAACTTCCTCTTCAGTTCTTCTGGATGAGTGTTTTCCAAACTGCAGACTGCAACCCATTAGTGTGTCAAGACATTATTTAGTGAGTCACTATCCACGTTTTGTTAATAAAACAGATTTGAAGAGAAGTCAAAGTAAGGGAAGCAAGGGTACTATCTCCTGAAATTCTTGTGGGTGTGGGTGTGCACCTGTGTTCAGGTATTTACCTCCCATAGTGGTACTTCTTATTCTATGTTGCTGTCAGAAACATACAATAGCCATTGTCCCAGGCAATTATTTTTTTTTCTTTTTCTTTTTCTTTTTCAAGATATTATTTATTTATTTGACAGAGATTACAAGTAGGCAGAGAGGCAGTCAGAGATAGGAGGAAGCAGGCTCCCTGCTGAGCAGAGAGCCCGATGTGGGGCTCAATCCCAGGACCCTGGGATCATGACCTGAGCTGAAGGCAGAGGCTTCAGAGATCACAAGTAGGCAGAAATGCAGGCAGAGAGAGAGAGGAGAAAGGCTCCCCACTGAGCAGAGAGCCCGATGCGGAGCTTGATCCCAGGACCCTGAGATCATGACCTGAGCCGAAGGCAGAGGCTTTAACCCACTGAGCCACCCAGGTGGCCCTGTCCTTTTTATTTTTTTTATTTAAGAAAAATATTTTGGCAGATCAACTCGTGGCGCGGCCCAAGACCAGCTCTGAAATGATGACCAATAGAGCAGAGGACTCAGCTGTCCGGGGCAAAAGCCAAAGGAAACGTTTTGGAAAACCCAGGATTCTTCCTCCATCTAAGAGAAGGCCAAGTCTGGCTCTGCTGTCAATGAAACAGGAAGGACAGGGAGAATCCCATTCTGGGGGCTCAGCCATGTGTTCGAAAGATGAGGGCTGCAAAGTCACAGCAATGTCTGTGTTGGGAGAAGTGCCTGAAAAACTGCCAATACCAGTGGAAATCAATGCTGAAGTAAAACATCAATTAAAGAGGGAAATCCAACAATTTGGACAAAAATATGAAAGAATCTTCAAACAGCTTGAAGGCGTGTGAAGATCTTTACAGCTGCGGAAAAAATGTTTCGTACATGCCATGAAAGAAACAGCGAGATTTAAAAGATAAGACTTGATAAAGCGCCTGGAAAAGGTACCAGAAAAACTAGAATCTCAACACTTTCTCACCAAAGGTTATAGTCACACCCCAAATTTATAATCCCATGACCGAAAAGATCAGTGAGCAAGCAGAACCAGTTTACTGTCCTAGAATGCAACCGGATATTGTTGACGTCTCCTGGCACCTCAGCTAAGAATATTGTCCTCTTGGGGTGCCTGGGTGGCTCAGTGGGTTAAGCTTCTGCCTTCGGCTCAGGTCATGGTCTCAGGGTCCTGGGATCAAGCCCCACATCAGGCTCTCTGCTCAGCAGGGAGCCTGCTTCCCTTCCTCTCTCTCTGCCTGCCTCTCTGCCTACCTGTGATCTCTGCCTGTCAAATGAATAAATAAAATCTTTAAAAAAAAAAAAGGAATATTGTCCTCTTGAGACTAAGAAAAAATACTGGGAATTCAATGTTCTAAGTTTCTGTTAGTAAAAGCTGGGCATTCCCCCTTAAAAATTTATCTTAGTTGACATACAATGTTACCTTAGTTTCACAGGACAGCATAGTGATTCAACTTCTCCACAGTTAGGCTACGCTCACAAGTGTATGTATCTGCAAGAAGGAAAGACAGGAAAATATCAAGCTGAGAGCCAGTTTATATGTTCATCCTACTTTTCTGCAGTATCTTTTTTTTTTTTTTTTTGCAAGAAAGGTGAATTTTGTATTTAAAAATGTCTTTCTAAGAAAGCACTGTCTTAGTAGACTCTTGAAAATTTGCCTACTATACTGGCAATTCTTTCCATACCTACGTTTGTTTAAAATAATCGTAAAGTCAATTTGTAAACACCCACTTCGGCTGCGGACCTTCGCCCTCAGATGAATTGGCTGAGACTTTTGTTTTACCCTATTTCCCCGCCCTGCCTCCCCCCACTCCTTGGGCTTTGGACAGAAAGAGGTCAAAGACGGAGGGCAAGGACCGCCGCTTGGTTCCTCCTTTCTTTTCCCGGTCGCAGCGTCTACTTTTTTGACAGCATTTTGAACTGAGATGACACAGTACATTACAAACGCCCAAGGGCAGCAAGGGGCAATGTTTAGTTAATGGAGTTGTCACTGTCATCTCTCTGTGCCCAGCCCGGACAGGGCACTCGTCCGGGCTGCCCTCCCCTTGGAACCCTGGCGCCTTTGGAAGGGAAGGGGTGTGTGTGACGCAGCCGCCGGTCGCTTAGGGCCGAGGTCTGATTCAGACCTGAAGCCCCTAGCGTCCGGCCACACGCAGTGCCGCCCTGGCCTCAGTTTCCCCACTTCTAAAGAAGGGGAGTCATGCTGCCCTGTTTCTTGTTTCTCTCCAAGAACATCAGCCCTTCGCTGGTGTCCCTGAGCAACGCGCGCCGGGGCTTCGCGCGCCTCTCGCGCCCTGGGCGCACTGCCCCCCTGCGCCCGATGGCAGCAGCCGCAGCCTCCGGGAACCCAACCGGGCCCGCCTCCGCCCACTCCCGGGTGCGCCAGAACTTCCACCCGGACTCCGAGGCTGCCATCAACCGCCAGATCAACCTGGAGCTCTACGCGTCCTACGTGTACCTGTCCATGTCCTATTACTTCTCCCGTGATGACGTGGCCCTGAACAACTTCGCGGGATATTTCCTTCGCCAGTCCCGAGAAGAGACCAAGCACGCGGAAAAGCTGATGAGGCTGCAGAACCAGCGGGGAGGCCGGATCTGCCTGCAGGACATCAAGAAACCAGACCAGGACGATTGGG